AACCACGAGTCACACAAGCTGGACACTTATTTAAAATTCATCCTCCTGCTGCCTGAACCTCAGTTTTCTCCAGGACAAAATGAAGATAGCAGTTCCTAAAGCATAATGGTGCAGTGAAGATTTAAGGAGACAGCATGGGGCCTGGCTCACTGTGAACGCTGAATAAACTAAGCTTTCTTCCTACATTTCCTTGTTCTTCTCTTACGGAAGCCTCCTCTCAAAGATAAGCCATGGCTTTGACCTGCAGATTGCAATACAAGTCCTGAGCCAAATAATCTGAGAGCCTATTGTGTACAAGGGCCAGGGTGGCTGAGGACGTGTTGAACACAGTCACAGCTCTGCCCTCTCTGACGGTCACAAGGTACACTTTTTTTTTTCTTTTGGTCATGCCATGTGGCATGCAGGACCTTAGTTCCTATCCATGGATCAAGTCCTTGCCCCCTGCTATGGCCCCTGAAGTAGAAGCCTGGAATCATAACCACTGGACTGCCAGGGAATTCCCCGGGTATTAACATTTCAAAGACTCTGAGACATCCTGTAGTGCATACACCTGTTTGGATTTCTTTAACCCAGTATTTCCTGGGTTATTTACTCTGCCATAAAGACTGGGGGGTTTTGAGGTTTTCAGTGGCCCTGTTCACCAGAATTTCTGGTCTTCCTCTTCGGAGCAAAAGGCAGACTTGCGTTTCCATGCCCCCGTCCATGTGGTTTGCTGTGGTCAACAAGTGGTGGGCAGAAGGGAAGGTGACACCCGGATGGACACCTTTACACGTCGTGTTCCTCCCCACCGCCCATCCCGACCCTGGGTCCAGAGGCAGGGAAAGGTTCAGACGGGGCCACCTGGCGCGAAAGGGCATGCACCCTGAGAAGTGAAACTTGGGAGCATAACCCCATTTATCTTAACTGATAAAAGTCCCTAGTCCCATCTGCAAGGACAGCAGCGTTCTGGAAAACTTGGTTTACGAAGGGCTGACCTAAATACAAGTTGGTGACCACACTGGTTCCCTTGAGAAAGTCAAACCCCGAGTTTCAGAGGCCATGAGGAAGGCACGCTGGGTCTTAACAGATCCCCGCAGAGGTGACCCCTCCTCTTAGTTTGGGGTGCCCTGAGGTGAGGGCCTTGCCTCCCTCCCGTCTCCCCAGCTCCTGCCACCGGAGGAGTGAAGGTGAGCGGCTGAGAGGAAAGGACACAGGTGCCAGCAGGAGGCGGAGGACCTGGCGGGATGCCCGGGGCGGGGGGCCTGGCAGGGAAGGCAGCTTCCTCAGGTCGGGGTGGGAGGTGACTTGACCGATTCTGGGCCCAGGAATGGCCTGAGACAAAGTTCAGGCCACCAACCCCTTCCTGGAAGTTGTTGCCACAGCCCAGGGCAAGGGCGGGCTGCCAAGAGGGACTGGCTTCCAGGGGCCTGAAATGGAAGTGGAGGTGGACGGGCGGGACAGGGACTGGCTGGGGCAGAAGGCGGCGGGGACTCAAGGCGCTGCCGGGTCCTGGCTCCGATGATAGAGCTGAGCTCTGCCCTGGGGGAGGGTGTGAGGGAGGCAAGCAGGGGCTGGTCGGGGGAGGTTAGGTGGGCCCTCCCCTGGACCAGAGACTGGGGAGTCCTCGGAGTGAGCAAGGCCTCCCCAGGGGTGGCCGGATCCTTTCTGCAGAGCGCCACATCCAGGCCCTGGGGAAGAGCCGGATACCCAGGATGAAATAGGGAACTCGAGTCCCAGAGGAAGGAGGTGGGGTCCAGGAAGGAGGGTCTGGTCCTCAGTGTCCAGGACAGAGCACGTGGAGGCCACCTGCCCTGGCCGAGCCCATCTAGGGCAGCGAGCCCGTGAACCCGCTTAGGGATGGGGGTGGGGGTTGGCAGGAGTTTAAGGAGCTTGGCCGTGAGGCAAGAAAAGCAGCATGGCATGAAGGATGCAGAGACAAGGGGAAGCAGTTGAACAATCACATTTATTATGAATTATTTCCTGATGAACGCCGAAATTCAATATAAAATGTAATTATGGGGAATGGCATCATGGTAACCACCCTCGGTAACCGGACAAACAGCCTTTCAGTCTCCACTTTACACACAGGCGTACACACACACACATATTGTTTCCTTAGCAAGACTGAGCTCATACTTTTCAGCAGGTTCTGCTATCTGTTTACCAAACAGACGGTGGCTGCCTGGCATGGAACAGGCTGCACACTGCTGATTCCTGATGCGGGAGCATCCCAGCATATCAAGGGGTCATCAACATTTGACAGGGTGGGAGAAACTAGAGGGTGTTTTACATTCTGATGAGAAACCCGCAGTGCTGGAGAGGTGAGGGCCTGGGGGGGGCAGTGAGGATGTCGGGGGGTGAGCTGGGGTCAGCCAATGAGGAGGAGACGGGGTCGCATGTAAGGCACTAGTGAGGTGGAACCCTGGATATTCCTAAGAAAAAGTAATACACTTCCTCGTCTTAGTGCACATTTGAGAAAAGTTAATAAAACATGTGTTCATCGTAAGAAGGTGGAATAATCACAAATAGAAAGTCAGTCCCATGTCATCCTATCTTAACACATCTCTTTCCTTACAGTGACGGCAGAACCAGTGTAGAGAATCTGGCCTAAATGGAAGTATCGTGGTTATTGCACATTCCTGCCAAGGTGGGGTTGCATGTGCTTAGACCCGCGCCATGGATCTGGCAGAGAAGGCCACCGGGATCCGGAGTACGGGGCTTGGGGAAGGTGTGAGAGGGCGCCACCAGGAGTCCAGGTCAGCTCAGCCAGGGGACAGTGTTGGTCCCGGGGCCCAGCTGGCCAGAGAGCCCTCCACTCAGCCCTGCCTCACTCGGGACGTGAAGGCTACCAGCAGAGGAGGCCCTGGACCCGAGAGGGGCTGGCCAGGACCCCCACGGGGCCCTTCCTGCACTGCGAGCCGACCCTGTTTTCTCAGGCAGCCCCTGCCTGCTACCCTCAGGGTGCACTGCTGTGTGTGGCCCTGCTGGTTCTTCGGCTCCAGGACCCCTACACGATGTGGGTGAGAGCTGCGGCTTTTCATGCCCACAAGTAGGATCTGAGCTTATTGTTCCTTTCCTTTTTGGTATCCTCACGTGCATAAATAAGGAAAACACACGCACACATTGTACCCTGGGTCACATTATACGGGGCAGCGGGCCCATGTAATCTGTGCCTGCCAACAGATTGCCACCCTGGAGAGACAGTGGGTACCTGCCTCCAGGTATTCTCCATTCGGCCTCGGGGCAGGGGGGGGCGGGGCGTGCCAGGGTGACTGTCTTATGCACTGGATTTTTATTTTCAAGGCTTCTTCTCTGAATATTTTACTGATTCTCATAATAGATAATTCAACAGATATTAAGATTCCTTTATATTTAATGTCAGTTCAGCTCAGTTTAATCGCTCAGTCGTGTCCGACTCTGTGACCCCATGAACCACAGCACACCTGGCCTCTCTGTCCATCATCAACTCCCAGAGTCCACCCAAACCCATGGCCATCGAGTCAGTGATGCCATCCAGTTATCTCATCCTCTGTCGTCCCCTTCTCCTCCTGCCATCAATCTTTGCCAGCATCAGGGTCTTTTCCAATGAGTCAGCTCTTCACACCATGTGGCCAAAGTATTGGAATTACAGGTTCAGCATCAGTCCTTCCAATGAACATCCAGGACTGATCTCCTTTAGGATGGACTGGTTGGATCTCCTTGCAGTCCAAGGGACTCTCAAGAGTCTTCTCCAACACCACAGTTCAAAAGCATCAATTCTTTGGCGGTCAGCTTTCTCTATAGTCCAACTCTCACACCCATACATCTCTTTAAAGTTTCATAATTTTGTGCATTTTTATCTTGCTTTAAATAAGCAGTTTTGAATTTAACATACATGCCTCATGTTTTAACTTAACACATTTATTAGCTATTTTATTTTATTTTTTTCTGTGAAAAGGGTTGTCCTATTTGGAAAGCATTTTAGCTATTCCTTTCCAAAATGTTTGACAATATATATATTTCAGTACTTTTTCTGTTTTTTAATAATGAAAGAATGTGAAGCTATAAATGTACTTTGGAAAAATTCTATGCATCTTGATTTCTGTTTGAGTTTTCTTTTAAAAATAATTTTAAAAATTAATAAAACTTACTATGTATGTTGTTTGGACTATGCTTTTGTTCTATATGCTTGACATTTTTTAATCAGTTGTCCTATTATGGAGATGACAAGAAAATATGGGTGAAGAACAGTTGAACAACAGTAGTTCTTTGGGATTCCCTGGTGACTCAGGCAGTAAAGAATCCACCTGAATTATATACATATAATATATATATTTTATATATTTATATATATATTACATATATACATAAAGAGTTACTTTTT